TATATATATTATTTATTTTCTCTTCTTTTTTCTCCATTATCCAAAGTCCAAACAAGGCCCAATGGAATACAACTAAAACTATCATACAGCATCCATATCATATGATAATCATTAATTCGAAATATACCATTATTCTTTCCTTTTTCGATGGCCGTACGTCCCCTTACTTTTCTTCATGATATCACGTAAAACGTTAAGTACCATTAATAATTTTGTCTTTTGAATTCTTTTTCAGCTTTTCTTTTCTCTTAACATAAGAGAAAGAATTTAAAATTAATTCCTTCTTTTGCATGCTCATGCTAACCACCTCCTCATCCAACCCCTCCCCCCTCAAAAAGGTAAAACTTAGAGTAATGTAAATTTGACAAAGAACCATGCAATTGCAGCAATTAAATAGTGACAAACAAACTGAAGAGAAGCAACTGATTAGTTAGTCTTTATGCATAGAACGCCTAATATTTATCTCTCTGATCCTTTTACCTGCCTTGTCTCTTGTAAACCTCATAACTGTAAATATTGCCCAATGACGAAAAATAATTAAACTAAGAGAAGATATTGAGGTAAATGCATGATTAATTGCAATCCAAGATAATATATAGAGTAAGTCATTATAAAATACAACAAACCCTACTTTCTTTTTTCTAGTAATTTCTTTTTCTCACCTCCCCAACAAAGAAAAAGAAAATGAAATTAAATAAAAAAACAATAAGAGCCTCTGGATATACTAGACACAGTCTGACTCTTTTGTCGCCCTTTACTAATAGTATAAAATTCTAAACATTATAGTAGGATATTCCACTTAGAATTTGTTGGAGATGTGAAACGGATCCAAGATTTAAAGTCGGTGAATTATAAACCGGAGTTCAGAGCCAGAGCGCTCCGGCTTCTTTGAGGAGAGGGACAAGTGTACCATTTATATGACAAGCCATGACCGTCTCGATCCCGCCTAAGAACTTCCCACCAACAAAAACAGCTGGGACGGGCTGCTGCTGCCCGTCCCCGGCTAATTGGAACAGTAAGGCGTGAATTTCCTTCCCTGCGGAGTCCCTGTCGAGCTCGACGATAGTGGGGCCCACCCCGAGCCCGAACAGGAGCTGCTTCACCACGTGGCACATGCAGCAACCGCTCATGGTAAAAACAACCACAGCATTCCCCGAAACCAAGAACCGAACCCGTTCGTAAACGGACTCCATTATCCTTCTTGATTCTCCGGCAACAATTCTCATACTTGATGATGATTCCTTCACTACCTGCATTTTTTTTTCTTCTTTTTTTTTTTGCAAATTCTCACAAGATTTTTAAAGGGTTTTTAATGGACTAAAAGTTATGGGGTTTAGTAGAAAAAAACCAAAGTGTTTGCTTCAAAGAGAAGAGTTAAGAATTCAGAGGAAATTTGTTGTTAGGTCTTGCGTAGAATAAAGGTTGGGTTTTATAGAAGGGAGACGGTGGGGGGG